CCTAAAAGGGGTCGGTGGACCCCAACCCCTTAGGGCTCCCCCTAAAGGGGCTTGGTGATGGGGTGGCTCGCTGCTGGGTGCTGGCTTTCCACCTCCTCCATCAGTCCCGTCCCTGAGGCGGGTCGGGCAGGGTGGGAAGGGGAGCGGGGCGGTGGCGGCGAAGCTTCGATGAGTCACTGATTAGAGCATCTCCCTTCCCGGTCTCCCCTGGGCGACGAGTGTCAGCAACCACCACCTTGACTCACCCGCTGGCAGTAGCGGCTCCCGGGGCTGCTGCCTCCTTCCCGAGCTGGGGCAAGGAGCCTGCTCCGGGGGCTCCTTGCCTGAAGGCTTTGCTACCCAAAAGCAGCTTTCCTGGGCTGCAGTGCCTCTCCTCTAATCAGGGACCAGTGACTGCACAGGGGTTTTGTTCTCCTGCTGTCACTTGTGGCCTCCATCCAAAATTTCTAATCCACTCCTGCACTAATGGTGTCCCCCCCCCACCCCCAGGCCCTGCAGTGGCCCTGACCAGGAGGGATTTGCTGGCAGCCTGGACCTGCAGCGTGTGCCTGGAGTATGTGCGCATGGCTTCTGCTCTTTGCAACCCTCCCTGTGTCAGCACAGATAAATTGAAATCCCCCCTCCTCCCCAGTCGCCCCAGGAGGGTGGGGGGCAGCTCTAGGGACCTGTCCATGGGTGGGACATGGGCTTTGGAGGAGCCACATGTGCAACCTCCCCTGTCCTGTGGCAGCATCCTGCATCCTCGTGCTGGAGCACGTGTGTGCCCGGCGTGCCTGCCTGCGGCGCACACCATGCTTCCCTGGCGCCGGCATGAGTCAAGCCGCAGTGTTTAGCCATATTTTCCATCCGTCCTGTCGGAGACGCTGGGCGGGAAGCGTTCCCGCATGGGTTGGGCTGGGGGAGGCCGTCGGGCCTGGATATCCCAGGATCCTGCTGCCCCGTCACAGCTGGGTGGGGACGCCTGGGCTGCTCTGCCAGCGCATCCCCTCCCTGCAGCCGCGGGGTGTAGTCGTAGCAGAAAGGGGGATGCGTGGGGGGGGAATGGGATTCATCCTGCTGCTTCCTCCTGGCTGGGATGCAACGGAGCTGGTGGGGAGGTGTCCCCTGAGTGGGAGGGCTCAGTCCCCTGGGAGGGCATCACTGCTAGGCTGCTCCAAGCACCAGGAGGTGTCCGGGGCCGGGAGTTACAGCCGCCTGCCGGGTGCATCTCGGGAGCTGGCAGCAGCCCCATGGGG